GAGGCCCTGAGGGCCTGTCGCGCCTGCCTTCACTTAGGGCGGCCGACATACTGCAAAAAGGGCCCTGAAGGGGCTGAGCGGGCGTAGCCTCGCATTCCCTCCTCCATATCTTCGTTAGTCCTCTGAGAAGATCAATCCTGAGCAATCTTGCGCTTTCCTTTCAATACATCCTTCTCATAGCGGGCAACGATTTGAGGAGCGGTCTGCATCAATTCCTCCCGAGTAAACCAGCGGTCCTCCTTCAGATCTGTGTGATGTCTGAAGTGGACACGAAACTGCAGCTTTGGCTTTGGAGGACGTCCCCTTCCTGGAGGCTTCTGAACAGGCATCTCCTTGTGGTCAACGATATCATCGATGTCGACTTCTCCGTCCATGGTTGGGGGCAGCATTGATCGACGAGAGGGAAACTGATCAGTTTCCTTGAACGCAGCGAGCTTAGAGGCGTGAAAGACTGGGTAAGTTCTGAGATGACCAGGGATACGGATGACATATGATGGACCATCAGGGTCTGTCCCAACTACGTCTAAAACTTCCCAAGGTCCAAAGTACTGAGGCATGAGTTTGCGGGATATCCCGAACTCCTGTCCCAGTTCTGAAGACTTGACCCAGACTCTGTCTCCAACCTGAAATGTAGAAGGGCGGCGGTGTTTATTCTCAGATTCTATCATTGCTGCCTGCGCCTTCTGCATGTGCTCTTCAGCCTCCTGCATCTTCTGTTCATATCGGTAGGCAAACTCTAGAGTGTCTGGTGCAACAGTTGGCTGGTTGTCAGAAAGTAGGAAGTCTAAGGGTAGTCTAGGCTTAAACGTTAGTTGTAGACTGTTAGGACTCACCCCTGTAGCGCTGTGTACAGCGTTATTGTACAGACAGGCGACAAGTGCGAGCTTTTCGTCCCAGTCCACCTGGTTGGGCTTGATATAATGCCTCAACAGGTGTTGCACAACGCGGTTCATCTGTTCGGCCTGGCCGTTGGCTTCGGGATGATTCCCAAAATCATCTGCAGTTGAGTTCCCTGTTCGGCTCCAGCGGCCTTCCATAACTCGCTTGTAAACCTGACATCTCGGTCGCTCAAAATAGACTTGGGCAATCTAAAATCTCTCACCCAGTTTTCTTTGAACATCTTAATCACGTACTCAGTCTTTGCTGTCTCAGGCATTGCTACTAACCTAGCAAACTTACTAAACCTATCCACGATGACAAAGATCTGCCTCATCCCACTCTTGCTGGTGACTAGCGTATCCATGAAGTCCATGAACAGGCTCTCACCCGGCCTCTCCGGAATCGGAAGGGGCTTGATCAGCCCAAGAGGAGCCTGAGTACGGGGCTTGTCTTGTTGGCAAACTTGACAAGTCTCCACATACAACTTGGCATCTTCCATCATCGTGGGCCACCAAAACCTCTGCAGCAAATTGGCTGCGGTCTTTTTGAACCCAAAATGGGCGGTGGCATCATGACACTCTCCTAAAAATAAACTACGCAAAGACTCGCTACTAGGGACACACAATCGTTTATTCCCCTCCTTCTCGAGAAACAGCATGCCATTGACCATCTCAAACTCAGCTGAAGTCTGTTTGTCCTTCGCCTCGAGTCTGCGGATGATCTCTGTCATAAACTGATCTTCTCGATAGGCCTCCACCAATGATCGAGACACATCGTCGTTTAACTCGGACTCGGTAATCAGCGCACCTGAGAAATCAGGTCTACGCGACAAGGCATCAGCCACCTTGTTGTACTCCCCTTTTAAATACTGGGGGTCGAAGTCATACTGCTCAATGACCTCGATCCAACGCTTCAGGGCGTCGGAAAGTACTAGCTGCGTTCTCATCCATCTCAAGGTCTGATGATCAGTCCTAAGGATGAAGAACCTCCCAAGGAGAAATAGTGTCTCCAATGGGTTAGAGCCTTGTACACGGCGTAGAGTTCCTTCTCATTGGTGGACTTTGCCAACTTGTGAGACGACATCTTCTTTGACATGTACTCGACTGACCTTAACTTTGGCCCCTCCTGCTGCGCAAGCACGGCGCCAATGCCATATTGGCTAGCATCCGTGGTTACTATAAATGGCTTATCAGGATCGGGTAGCTTCAAGACTTCATAGTGCGTCAATGCATGCTTCAGATGTCTGAAAGCAGCCTCGCACTCATCTGTCCACTCCCACGGGGTGTCAAGGCTGGTCAGATCAGTCAAAGGAGCTGCCATTATGCTATAGTTCTTAACAAAAGTCCTATAGTAGCCTGTCATTCCTAAGAAAGATCTCATCTCTGTCACGGACTGAGGTCGTGGCCAATCACGAATGTTGGCCACCTTCGCGTCATCGGGCTTCAACCCTTCCGCGGAGATCTCATGACCCAAGTACAAGACACGGGTGCGGCCAAATTCGCACTTTTCACCGTTGATCTTGAACTTGTGCTGTCGCAAGAGACTAAGGACTTTGTCTAAATGTGCTGCATGCTCCTCGACAGTCTTACTAAAGATAGGTATATCATCAAAGTACACAATGACAAACTTATCCAAGTAGTCATGGAATATCCGATTCATAGCGTGTTGAAAGGTGCCAGGAGCATTGCACAGTCCAAAAGGCATCACCACAAACTCGTACAGACCGTAACTGGTATAAAATGCGGTTTTGTGTTGATCCTCGGGCCGGATTGCAATCTGATGGTACCCGGACTTCAGATCTATCTTACCGAAGTACCGACACCCTTGCACTCTATCTAACAGATCGTCGATGCGCGGTAGGGGCTCTCTGTTCTTTACAGTGATGGCATTGAGACCCCTATAATCAATGCACATCCTGAGAGTACCCTCCTTCTTCTTAGGCACGAATAACACTGGAGACCCATAAGGAGAGACACTCGGCCGGATCCAACCCTTCTCTACGAGTTCCTTGAGTTGGCGGCGAAGCTCATCAAGTTCGCCTGGAGACATCCGATAGATCCTACCCTTCGGAATACTAGATCCTAGGATAATTTCTATTGCGTGGACAACCTCCCTCTCGATAACCCCTGTCGGCTCTTCAAATAGATCAGGGTACTTGGCAACTACTCCCTCTATCTCCGGCGGTATTTTCACCGGCTCGCCTGCAGCAGAGACATAAACTAAGTACATACCCTCCTCCTGATTTTGCTTATAACAATTATAGAATGCGGCCGCACACAAGCACCCGTAGGACTCAATCAGACTACTAGCTTTGAACTTGTGTAATCTGGCGGTCCCTCCACCTGGCAAAGTGTGCTTGACCACTTTTCGGTCCCAGTCAAACTGGGGCTGTGCAACCGAGAGGTAGTACATACCTAACAAGATATCCATGGGGAGATCGTCGCTAACTAGGAATGAGACACTATGCCTCAATTCCCCTCCCGCGTACGGGAACAGGCACTCAACATCCTGAAGGTAGTCATTTACTACCATGCGCGGTTTGTTGGCACAGGTCGACTCAGGCGCTGCACTTGCCCCTATAAACGCAGCCTCTCAACGCACACGCGACTAATGAAGTTTCGTGTCGAGCAAGTGTCATAATAGGCCCCGACCTTGCGACCGCCTATGACTATCTCGCTGACGAACATCTCACCCTTCGGGGCTTTAGCTAGTGTCGTCCAAGAAGCTAGCGGGTCTGATCTAGACCACTCCTCCTCTAGCTCCTCTAAGGACTCTAACACATTCATCGAGCAAAGGGTCGATGGGTTTGAATGCGTTTGCGGGACGACAAGGGAATCAGTAGCTTGGGCCATGATGCGAGATGGCGAGGGTGTCTCCACCATCTCGTCCCTAGTAGGAACAACTACTATTCCTACTGGCCTGACGTGTTTCCCAGAGCAGTACCTGATGAACTGGCAACATTGCTACCTACAGGAGATGAGGATCCTACCGCCTGCCCCATAGTAGGCGGGATCTTATCGGTGACCTTTTTGTTCCTACATTTGAACTGGTTATGGCCGTATTGACCACAACGAATGCAGGCCTGTCGGTTCCACCGATCTCTCCACACGTCCTCTGAAAGACCTCCTTTCTCCCATGGAGGAGCATTGGGGTCAACCTGATTCCTAGACCGGGAGCCTCCTCGGCGTCTACCGGTCCCCTTACCTTTTTGTTGGGTTACGACGGCGACTACTCCACCCTCTGAAGTTTCGCCACTTGTTTCTGCACCTACTCCCTCCTGGAAGTTGCCGTCCAACTCGATGTTTGAACCATCGTTGTCGACAAACATTAAGCGACCCTTCGCCTTCCAGTTGGGAGGCAGTGTCTTCTTTCTCCCCTCCGTAGTGGGTGCCTGTCCATGCCCTATCTTTGCTTCCAGGTCTAGGTCCACCTTGCTAAACGAAGGAAAGTTGTGCATATTGATGTTGGCCTCTTTTGCCAACTGGTTCCTGAGAGGCTGTGAAAAACATCTCAGGTACGAAGTCAACAGGACATGAGGATCATAGCGTACCCCAGGGACACAGATCAAACGTTCAACAGCGTCGGTGGCTCTCCACCATCTTCAGGAAGTCCTCCAATTTCTGGGAGGCCGCCCAAGCGCGGAAGTCATGACCGTATCCCTGAAGTTGTACTAGACCACTCAACCATCTTGTTGCACTACCCTCGAGGTAAGGCAGCCACAAGCACTTCTTCGTGCGGCAAGGTGAGTTTGCACCTGACGTAGACCGGCACTGCCCTCAACCATGTGTCGAGGTCCTCGCCTCTCTTGTGCCCTGTAAAAGGTTTGGGAGCGGCGATGGCCGTCTTTGGAACCCACTGTGCCTGTCCCGGTCCCTGCATCATTGCAGGCTGTGGACCCGGTGAAACAGGTTGTTGTGCTAGCTGCTGGGGCTGTGAGCCCTGAGGCTGCACTGGCGCGAGACAGCAGGCTGCGTGGTGACTGCAACCTGTGACGGACTTGGAGTAAACACTGTCTGGACAGGAACGTGTAAACTACTCCTTGCTGTTACCCCTCCTGACAGAGGCATGCCCAGGGAAACGATAGCAACCGATGACGGGGCTACATATGGGGATACCCAAGTCACCGATGGGACATAAGAAGGAGGATATGGCACGGGCCAGGCACCAAGCCCTGCCGGTGATGGTGCTCCCTGAGAATGACCTACCAAAATGGCTAGGCTTTGCTGGATAGCATGAAGGACGGTAGTTTGATGCTCCTGCATCTCTATTACTCCTAGCAAGGCCCTCCTAACTACCCTCACAACGTCATCCATGTTCGTCAGGTCCATCGACTCTAACTCCTCTATGTCTGCTCCTGTCCGTTGCATCCTGGTCCTTCTTCTAATCATCATCTCTTTCTCCCTTTTTATCTGTCCTAATGCCTGCTGTAGTTGTGCCTCTTGCAGGGCTGCCTGCTGGATGGCRACATCYTCTGGGGTCAACACCGCGGGCTGGCTTGCCATTAAGCCAGTGGACTGACTCACGGTCTGCGCGACYGTAGACCCGRCGGTACCTGAWCTACCGGCTKGGGAAGTCTGCYGYGCAGACGTGCTCATGGCTGTGGTAGCCATGGCTGCTGTAGCACCGGCCTCGCTAGCTAATGCCCTGCTGGCCTCGGCTGCTCTAGCTCTCCTCTGCTGCTGCCTCCCCCTCTGCCAGCGAAACAGTTCCCTGTCACCCTCCGGTCCTAAAGACACGTGGGCTACCGGGCCCCTAGCTGATCGCAAAGTCCTGCGGTCGTCCTCTCCGGTGTTCTCCTCATCGCTCATAGGCTACAACACTGTGCACCGTCTACACTAGATCATTCAAGATGCCTACCGCAGCATAGTGCATAGACCAACTAATTGATGGTGGCTACTTTTGGTACAGATCTCATTTGGGATCAACAGGTAAGTCAGATTCCTACAACTGAAACTATTTTTAGTATGACTAGTCCACGAACAGAAACATCAGGAACAATCAACAGTTCTAACTAATGCTGTATGTCAGATGTCAATGGCAGTCCATCTAACTAATCAAAACATAAAAATAGAATCACTTGTGTGTATAGGACAGCATGGAATTTTGTCGAACTTGTCACCTGGAATCGACCCCTCCCTCCAATCTACACTTGAGTATCTCTTGCTGTCAGCGTCCTGAGCAATCGGGTAGCATGCGTGACTGAAGGTGTGCAATCCTGTCCCACCCCTGTGCCCCAGGTTATCGTCGAGCAAGGCAGCCACAGCACTCTTATTTATCCTCGTACGCCGACGAGCCTTACACTCGGTTGATCTGGCTGATCAAGAGGCAATTTAACGTCCGCCCCCAAGTGACATCAGGAATTATTTTACGTTGCAACAGGACGACGATCACAGCCAGATCAGAGCCGAGTCCCCAGCCAGAAATGTTTATAGACGGTCTGGTAAGCGTCTGTAGAGGCTGCCACACTCGAGTTAACCCCTACCATGCGCAAGCAGCAGAACCAACGACTTGCATCGAAGCATGCGTGTACTACACCCAGTGGGTTGGCATGGTGACCGTGACCCAGTGCTTCGTCCAGGTCCCTTCAGAAAGCAACGCCCTCTTCCCCCTGATGCTCCACAGGAAGTACGCCGACTCTCAAGGTTGAGCGCACTTGACACCTCACGGTGAGAGGACTCTCAAGTTGGATCACACAACCTCACGGTAAGAAGTGTTGGAGAGGGTAGATAAGGTTGGGAGTAACGTACCTCGGAGTAACGTACCTCAATATTGCTGCCCCCAACCACAGAGATAATCTCACCAGATGACCAAATGGTGATTGGGATGGGATGACCAGTCACTGCATCGGCACAACCAGCATTATTCACCGTTCCACCTCAGCATCAATCACACATTAGATAGTTCTCATCACACTGTCCAGACCACATTCAGCTTACGTAGCCTTCCTGGCGATTCCCCTCACCTCCTGGGTCGCCACACACTCGTCTCCACCCTCCTCACTACACACACTTACGGCCAAACTCGCCCAGCAGACCGCATGTATGTACCGCATAAGGCAGAAGACAAGCGCCAGATGAGCGCAATCGTACCACCGCTCCGATACCAAATTGCAAGGAAGATGAGCATTAGCGAACTCCAGCAACCAAACAGCATCATACATATGTGTCCAGATAGTCTTGACCTCGAACCAACAGCAGTCATGC